AATGAGCATTCGGTGAGAAACATGATGAAGACTTTGGATTTTCTAAATATCCACGGATTAACGACTGAATGAAATACTCGGATGTGACCAGTACGACAGGCAATGTTCTCATGTATGCCAGCTCAGACAGAGTGATCTATAAAATAAAAATAAATATGCATAAACAGATAAATGAGAATATAGATGAATTACACAATAGACAACAATAACAAGAAAAACAACAACCAGTTTTTCCACGTGTGTTAACCCGGCCGACAACTGCTACCTTGCCTTGGTGGTCCGGGGGCTTGAATATCGCAGTGACCCAACAAGCTAAACTGGCTGAGACTCATGTCCCTGCAGGTCCTACCATGTCACGAAAGTTGTCTGGATAACGGTTAGACTAAAAGCAGTTGACATGGGGTACATCGGCTACAGAATCCAATCGGATCAAATAGCGTATGAACCCATATGGGTCACCGGAAATCATGGGAATGCAGCTCCTGACGCTGCTACGCTGCCTTGCGGATTAGACTCCAAGTCAAAGGCACAGAGGGGTGGTCTCTTAAGAAAACCACCTGCTTCGGTCTGGGCGCCCCAGGCAGTAAGTATTTCAGCCCTCACACAATAAATGAAATGAAGCAACAAACTATCAGTGAAACTTATCGCGTGCTCGTAACAATGCTTTCAAGCAATCATGGTGTCTCAAGTGACTTATGTCTTTCCAACCTTACTTTTTAAGTTTTATACATAGACTCCTGTATTTTACCTTTGCTAACCTTGACTTCTAGACTTCACCTTCGACAGCCTTTCGCCTTTGTCTGCATTCCCAGCCTATCTGTGCCGTTTCGAGATGTTAGTAGTGAGTAAGTAGCCTTCAAAATGGTTGTCCCCAATGCGATGTCGCATCTAACACAGATATCCTGAAACCACGTGCCGCATTCAAACTGGCCACCTACAATGTTCGGACGCTGATGCAAATCGGACAACAGGCAGGGTTGGTAAGAACATTGGAAAGCCTCGCTATCGATGTCTGCTGTATTTCGGAGACCCTCATTCAAGATTCCAGTCAAGTGTTTCGATTGATTATCCTATCCATCTGGAAGTTCGAATAGTATGTACCACCTGCGCTTATCCGGGTACCCTGTGACGTCAGCATCCAGATTATGAATATAGACGAATTACAAAATAGACAAGAACAACAACCAGTTTTTCTGCGTGTGTTAAAGTTTGACAGGAAGTGGAAATACTAAAGTGTAGTATATATGATTATGAGTAGAAAAACTAATTAGGTAATAAATATAGGTCAATCTAATGTTCATTGGACATGCGTGAAATACATGATGATGATGATGATGATGATGATGATGATGATGATGATGATGATGATGATGATGATGATGATGATGATGATGATGATGATGATGATGATGATGATGATAGGCAAATAACCGTGTGTCACTACACTGAACACTTACTTCAGTTTCGTCGACTAGGACGAAATTCACTTTTTGCTCAACAGATTTACATCCATAGTTACATCTGGTTATCGGAAACATCATTGAAAGCTGTCTACATGCCTCAGATACAGGGATTATCGGAATTCGACTAGGCGACGAACAACTAACACCTTCAGCTGTTTCATTGATCAATCCACATGCAATCGATACAATATTCAACCAACCGGATCCAAAGGCTTCCCTATCATTGGTAACTATTGCGCCTAGGCAAAAAGTAATTTCTCTGCTTGCCCACTTTCCGCATAAAGAAAACAATGAAGGAGAAGGAGGCGGAGGAAGCGGGGGAGGGTTTGTCGCGTATGCAGACTGACGGTAGCTCACAGAAATAGACGACCTGAATATATTATAAATCGAGATAAGTAAATAGCTTAACACAGCAGAACAAACAAAATAGTGAAAACAAATAAGTAAATCGATAAAAACAACAACATTGTAGAGAGAGAGTTAACAGACGATTTAAGAAATCAGCGGGGAGGCCTTCTCACACACAGACAGATTAACTTCTGTGTTACCAAACAACACCAAGTTAGTCAGTGTTCAGTCAAAAGTCGACACACATTAGTTATTCCTTTGTTATTTCCAACTGTATAGCTGCAAAAGCAGGTGCATTGGAAGAAGAATACAAAGACAGCTAGCCAACCTGTTCATGTCTTCCTTGTTTCAATGGCCATGTCTCACAGCCATCCCATAAAGGAGGACGGACCTGACTCCTGAGCAGTACACACACGCCCTTTGGTAGACAGCCAGTCAGCCGGATATCACACGTCTATTCCAGAGATGGCATAAGCTGACGCATATGTCGAATGGTGAGGCTTGTGTGTGCCTGTGCTGAGACTTTGTTAGCCATCAATCATCCGCTGGAGCTGGCTGATACAACTCTCCGAATAAATGAAATGGTCAACACGCCCCACCGACCGCTTGCTTCACTCCTTATCTCTAAGCTATGAGTCGATGTATTCCAGTCTTGTACCATAATGTTAAATTTGACAGCAGCTCTAGTGATTCGCCGGCATGCCAAACATTCGGAGATTACTGTTGCTCAACAAGGTGTTCAGAAGACTCGAGCTCTATTTTGTCAGCGTCTTCACCAGGGAGCAGGACTATACATATATATATCATCTGCATATCCTAAAGCAACAAGATATTATTCACTGGTAACAAGTCAATCCCTGCCTGAGTCGCTGAAGTCATTTAGGCTACTTACTTACTTACTTACTTAGTCACATCATCACTTACCAAAACGTTATCCTCCAATATTCTTGATGTCTAAGCAAATGAGCTCAACTCACAATCCACTTTATTCAGATTCCATTCGTTCACATTAACACTTTTATAATGTTATAATTTACATATACCACAATATGTTGTTGATTCCCGCTTATGCCGTTGCTTTATGCAAGAAACTTTGGTCATATTACATTGATAAGTATGTAGCAGCAATTCAAAACATTTCACTAACTTAACGTTGAAAATTCATCCATAAACCATATTGGCTATTTATTATTATTATTATTATTGCACATTTTATCTTTAATGTACTTAAAAGGTTATCTGAAAATTGTAGTAAAACTGTTAACTTCTATTATTCAATTTGTCAGTGGTTGGGAAGATGCCGACCTAAATAAAATGAAGGTGTGTTGTATTCTCATCTGATCCTTGAGTTGTTTGTTATTGATGTATTCAAAATAAATAGCTTTCAGAGCAATTTCAAAGCAATATGCAACCCCTTCAAACACTCTTTAAACCAAAAAATATAAAATTTAAAGTACTACTCTGGTGAGAGCTGTGTGCTCTAGCCAAAATTGGTAGACAGTAATGTACGTCAATGTTTATGTCCCAAATATCGGTCATGAGAAAAGAAGATCAGGAACAAAGACTGACTGACTCAACCAACAACCAATCACAGCACACTTCGTTTGCGTAGGCGGATACAGTGAGCAGATGGACAAATGAACTGACCTTCAAGAAACAGCCAGAAAGAGATGAAAGATTAACTAACGTTCAGTGAGAAACAACCACCAATCAGAGGAGTGTGTTTATCTGCTAACAATAATCTATAATAATAATGTACATGAAAATCGATAAATATGTGTTGATTACCTGAACAAACGATCTGTTGCCTGACTCTGGCCTTCAGTCCTTACACTTCTACTAGGGAGAATACATGTTTGCAGACAAATATTCCTTATTATTATTTCAGAAAACATGTGCAGTATGATGCTACGCCAAAGAGAATCTCTTTTTCAATGATTTATTTAAAAGCATCCCAAAAGAAATCAAGATTATGAGTGTCAATCAGTGTCCACAATCAAAATAATCATAATAGTCTGTAACACACACACACACACCGTAAAATAAATCGACAATCTCCACCCACCTACCTGTACACCACCGAAGAGGATAACTGGAACACACTGAACAACATAGATAAATCAACGTGTGAAGAAACCAGTTAGCAACACACTGCTGGTACAAGTGAATATTAATAGAAGCTAGAAAGCATCGAGTTATCATTATATCACTAGAAAATTAAACAGCACAATCTTTCAGGGATATTTGAAACTAATTCAGTGTCCTAAAGTGATATCAAGAAGCTAGTAAAACTTTTTTTAAAAGAGTCAACGGGGTTCACAAGCATTCCTTAGCAAAACGTGTATGTGCAATTCCATATTAGTTTGTTTATTAGATGGATGTATCACACACAGTCAGTCAGTGAAACAGTATTAGTATTTACTGGATGACAAAGTTGTTTCGAACACAATTCATTATTCCTGTTCATAATCACATCAGCAATTATAATCACACGACTTCGAAACTTGAGTTTCATGGTTTTCTTTGTCCTCTCCTATTTGTCGTCGTAGGCGTGGTAGTAGAATTTTCCAGATATCTGGCTGGACAGGTGTTGAATCATCCCTATTACACGTATTTGCAGGAATAAAAGTGGCTGCAATTCAAACCAACCACAAACTCAATGAGAAACAAACTTTGCCGGTTAAAGGATCTAATATCCTGTCTGCAATGATTGTCAGGTCAAATACATAGGTCAAAGTAGTAGAACGGGGTCAGTGAGTCAGACTTTCCGAACAGCATAAAAACCTAGCAGCAAAATCTAGATTAGTTGACCCGAATAAGATAAGAAATCTAGAGAATAGTTCAGAAGCTATTGCAAGCACTACATGCAATCACACACAAACATAAAATAGGCTGGATGGGATAGGATGACAGTTTTGAAATCTAATGTCACAGGGTGAATAGAGGGAGGGAGAGATTGATAACAGAAGCTTTGTTTATCGAATCAACTGCAAATCAACACGTGTAACAGGAATGATTCAACACCTGTCCAGCCAGATATCTGGAAAATTCTACTACCACGCCTACGACGACAAATAGGAGAGGACAAAGAAAACCATGAAACTCAAGTTTCGAAGTCGTGTGATTATAATTGCTGATGTGATTATGAACAGGAATAATGAATTGTGTTCGAAACAACTTTGTCATCCAGTAAATACTAATACTGTTTCACTTACTGTGCGATACATCCATCTAATAAACAAACTAATAAGGGAATTACTTACTACCACCACCACAGTGCCCATGTTTTACACATATATTAGTGTATGTGCAATGTTAAATAAGAAACATTAGTTTCCAGGTTTATAAAAAAAAACTTTTACGCATCAACATTATTGATCCGAAAAAATTATCAAAACTCACCAACTAACTGGTTCCAAGGATCCAGATATGAATCCTCTAGGCAATTCATAACGGCCAGGATACGTGAGTAATAAATGGAGAGGCCAATTACGAGACTCTCCACTTGATGTCTTGGCATCTTCTCGACATGCATCCAGTAGCCATTCAGTACATAGTATCGGGATGCTACCCAACGTAGCAAGCGCCTGCAAGTATGCAAATGTACGACAGCAGTTCGTTGAAACTAAGGCTATATGCCGATTTTGCTGTATTGCCGACTCTTGTGCATAACTTCCATCACAACTATTTCCCCGTCGTCTGTTGAGCAAAGAAGGTGTTATCTCCACGGCGATTTCCCCACCACAGGCGACAATCAGTTGTTCTATAAGATTGACATCAACGGAATCCGCCGTTGGACTATTATTACCTATTAAAAGAAACCACGTAAGCGTACTAAAGCGTATCTAAAACATTCAAAGTATCTCATTTATCACACTTCATATGGCTTTTAGGAAAGAATAAAAAACGCGAAAATACAGCAAGGTCACCGTAAGTTTTTTTAATTCTGAGTCATATTTGATAAAGTCTCGGGTCTGTAGTGTAAATTGAACCTTTGTTTCAACGCACTCACTCACTTCATCTTTTGATTTGTGACTCTCCTGTACATACTGCGTTCACTCTCTCCTCTTGTTGTGCTTTCATTCAGCGCACTCTCTGAGCCTGCTACTAGTCAAAACCACAGATAGGTTGTATAACACCTCTATATTTATTAAATTTGATATTTCATTTGTGTAAAATAAAACTCTGTCCCCAGACACACTTCCCGCGTCTCAAGTCTTTTTACTCTAATTCCATTCGTCAGTACTTACACGTTAGATAGAGTGTACTGTTAAGGTTATAACGCGGTGAAGATTTTACTAAGTGTGGTTATTTTGAGGTCTATCTCAGGTTTAGCCTAACACTTACAGGCCAATGACCAGTATGATCTCTCAGACAAAACCCATCTGAAAGATCAGTTTCTACAGGCACGTAACGTAACGACCCCGAACCTTTGATGGTGTAACAACCGGTTGTTCAATAAAATCGTCACGTGAACAACAAATGATCCACCTAGGTGGTTAACAAATTAGCTGACTGCGCTGTAATTACCCGAAAATATCACCACTTTATAAGGCAGCAACTCTAAGAGTGATATTCTCTAACCGCCCACTACTTCGGGGCAACGGGAAGGACAGACTTCCGCATATGACCACTTCAATGTGCATATATATCAGTTCACCTGCTCTTGCGGAGCTAGGTACATACGTCGCTCTATGCGGGTCTTATCAAAACGTGTTAGATAACATCATCCAGCATGACTGCAAACAGGAGGCACTGGTTCAATCAGAAGGGCAATCACTGAACACCTCGTCAATACCTGTCACACAATCTCAACTGACTCATCATTCAGTCATTTACAAAGTAAACAAAAATCTACCAAAGGCAGTCAGTGTGTTTCCAACTTCTTTGTACTGCGGAAGCTCTCGCCAAATGCATCGAAAAGCCGGAGCTATGTGTTCAAAAGAAACTAGTCCAGCCTTTACAACTACCACGGACCTAGTTCGGTATGTTCCCTTACCCTTCAGTTTTCTTTTGTTTTGCTCTCTCTGTTTGTCTTCATTCAATTCATCCCAACTTTTTCAGTTATAAAATCAGTTATTTTAAGTTTGTTTCCATGCTCCTCCTGATCACACTTGTAATCCCGTTTAGAACAACCATTTTAAAATTATATTCTAATCCGGTGTATTTTTTTGTTTACATGCCTCTTGTAATCTATATTCACACACGCCTAACTTACATTTCAAGTTGAAAATTTCGATTTCAATTTGTTTCCATGCTCATTTGGTTCACACATGTAATTCGTTCTATCCCTGCGTAACTTCCGTCTCTAAGCCTCTTGTAATCCATATCAAGCTGAAAATAATTATCACCTTTTATTCGCCTTTAAAATTATTTCTCCAGTTATCAAATATTAATTTTGCACACGTTGTAACTGTTTTCTAATCCTATGCAATCTTGTCTCTAAGCCCCTTGTAATCTATCTATATTCGTACCTTCAAACTTTCATATCAAGTTGAAAAATAATTATCACCTTCATTACTATGTGGAATTAATTAAACAAATGATAATTGTATCCATGTGAACTAATCTGTATAAATGCGATTGTACAGATGCTTTTGAGAATGAAGTCGCCGAAAAGATCGCCATCTTTGCTGAACTTCTTGTTCTTTTCAATCATCTAATGTTCCGATGGGTATTTTCCACGAATTTTATAAGTGCCTACTACTCTAAGCTATAGGAATTTGGAATAAAATGTGTCCGCTAATGTAAAGTAAACATCAACGAGAAGATTGTAGAAAGGACCATAAACTCACTTCCAGCACCACCACCAGTAAGAATAATAGTCCATCCATCAAACACTGATGATCTTGGCGTTGGAATACACAACTTGTGACATATTGAATCCAACAAACCTTCCGATAATATCAAAGATGACAGCTCATCTAAAATGAAAGACGAATGACGTCAACTTAAACAAGCATATATATATATATATATATATATATATATATATGTATATATTTCAGTCGGTTATCAGTCACGTACGCCTATAGAGGTTTCACAGTTTAACTATTTTTCAAGCCATTTAGGTATATGTATGTATGTTCTCCCACCGCCAACATGCAAGCAAGGCGCCATTACTCCTCCTGTCAGTGTATGCATCCACACGCACACACACACACACAACACGGAATTGGACGTTATCACTTGTGCAATGTTGAGGCGCCTGTGGTAGAGCATGTTTTGGTGGCTTTTTCGATCATTTAAAACAAAATAGTCCCTTCAATAAATTTCGATAGGACTACTAGAAATCATTCCTCCTTTCTTTCTCAAAGAAACAATGTGTAATAATGCTAAACCAAGTGCTTTCAACTAGCTCGATGAGTCACACACTCGGCCTGATGAAGAGCATTGACGAACATTGACCAGATATGTTCACGCATACCATTTCAACTAAAATTTGTACACCCGTTTGATTGAATACAAGCATACTGTAAATAAGGTGAGTGTTTTATCCTCTAGAACTCCCAATTAACAATGTGTCCAACCACAGTAAAACAGAAGATCTCAACGAAAAATTGCTAACACGATGAATTGTGAAATAAGAATAAAACTTGTGCACTGTGGTGGTAGAGTATAATTCCATTATGGGTAAAATTTGTTTTCATAGAGTCTCACAGTGTTGTACAGTGTTATGTATTTACTGCTGACCACGTTTCGAGCACAATTTATTACTGCTCATAATCATATCAAGGCATTATTTTTCATCACTTGATTTGATGATTGGCAGTAGTGGTATGAGTGATGAGTCATCCCTATTGCAAGTGTTGGGTGTAGACTCAATGAACCAGACAGGATTCAGTAATCTACCTCTCTCTCTCCACCTACATATATTACTTCTTTGAATCTTAGCCCTCTCACATCATGCTATTGTGTGGTTGTGTGTTAATGCATGCATGCAGTGCAATGTGGTGCTGAGCGTTTCTCTAAATTACTTATCTTCTCGGGTGGGGTCAACCATTCTTACCTTAGCTAAATTCTTATGCTCCGACAATCTGACTACCCCCGATCTACTAGTCTGTTTCACCTATGTAGTTGACCTAAGTCAGAGTCAATGCAAGGTATTTTGTGAATTATATTACTTTGTCTAATTGGGTCAACCGTCAGGGTCTTTTAGCCTACAGAGCTTGTCCTACCTGAGTGAGTTTGTAGGTTTAAATGCCACCGCCAGCCTGATTCCCATATTATTAAGAATCCTACGTAGGGAGTGTCTCAGATATCCCCTCCATCCTTATATGGTATCACAGTAGATGACTTATATTCTCTCTAATTTATGTTATCATTACGAGTTTCACAATTATTTTTCGATTTTGCTTTTGGCCTTTACTGATCTTCCTATTGAATTTTATAGAATAGTTAGTTATTTGACACCAACGCCTCTTCTTCTGTCCGTTTTGTTTCACCATTTAGGCCTTTTCTTGTGCTACTTAGTGCTATTGCTCGGTTTGTTAAACACTTAACTTAACTAAGCCTGCCTTAACAGACAGATAACGGACAGATGAGATGAATTAAAGTCTGAATATCTATTAGCAGAATGCGTTGGCTTTTTAAAAACGCTAGTGTGCAGTTTACCTTCTTCTATTCGTTTTATTTTACAATCTAACATCACAGCTAATTCTCCTTGTTCATTTTCGGAAATATGGAGAATACTACTACCAATCAAATCAAGCGATGAAAAATAACGGAAGCTAGAAAGTCGTGTGAGTCCCTTGATATGATTATGAGCAATAAATTGTGCTCGAAACGTGGTCATCAGTAAACATTACTGTATAACACGCTGTGAGACTTTATCAAAACAAATTCTACTTATTGTGAAAAACACGGTGATTACATAAACATTACATATGGCACAACAATTACTTGCTTTTAGTTTATTGAAACAGGTGTGTAAGTGTGTTATAGACTGATGACCCCCCCCCTGTGGGGTGAGGTCAGTCATGAATCGTTCTGAACTATTTCAGAACCATACGTTGTCTGTTGGATCAAAATTCTCGCCTGACTTATAAGATGAGATCTGCCTTCACCCCATCTTCAATGTCTATTGTATAACAGTGTCACACATACTGAATCAATGCACCGTAGCACAGATATTCCTCTACAATCCCCTCCTCCTCCTCCTCACTTTGTGTTTCACACGTCGAGACAATAATAACCCATCCCTAGTCTAATCTTACTATCATTGTCATTCTTACCAGTATACACTTATTCTTCAAAAGCCTTGATGATTGGAATGGATACTTCCAATCTCATCTCCCACCCATACCTCTAGTTAGTGAGTTAAGTGAAGCGCGTTCAGAAAATACTCAATGAATGTACGATCCAGTCCCAGACTGATCAAATTATTATTACAAATAAACGCTTTTTTATTTTCAAATTCAGACAACACATGCTCACTTCTCACACACAAATCTCTTTCCGATCGTCTCAAAAAACACCACAATGTCAGAGTCACTATAGTCATTAGAATAATGGTCAATCAGTCAATCAATCTACGGAAAACCAACTCCAACCACCACAGTGTGTAAACGTCAGTATAATCACAATATGAACTAATTGACCTCAGCTGCTGTTACCACCTCAAACAACAGACTCTTATTTGTATGGAGGAGAACAATCAACTTACTGGTAAGTTTGTGCATGTTCAATGGCTCAGATAAACGTATAGAATCTTCGTTAGGGACCTCGTTGAATAGGTCTTGGTCTTGTGTGTGAACCAGAGAGATTTTCCTCCACGATTCTGTAAAATTTGTTAATGACATTTTTATATCAATTACAAGACAACTAAAATCAACACTAATTATCATTTCTAAACAAGGACTTTAAAAAAAACAATTCTAACTTTAACAGATGACAATTTACATTTTGTAACAGCACAAACGTAAAAATAAAACAGGAGAGAAGTGCGCTGTGCAACAAATAAACACCCTGTGGAAATCAGTCAGTCAGTCAGTCGGGTATTTCACTGACAATAGGGATAACAACAAGCCAAGACCTTATGGAGGACTTGGGTTATACAACCCAGAAACGTTAGCAGTAATGCAGATTTATTATGTGGCCTAATGTTGACTTAGAACAGTAGTTTTAATGTAGAAGTGCCCATTTTAGCAGAAAGGGATACTAATGAAATTATATAACTTTTATGAAGGTTAATCATTTAGATTCAGATTATAATGATAGAAGGCTCCTGTTGCCTATGTTAATCCTCGCGATATATATCTCTGCAGAGATCCAGTTTCTCTTTGAAAGCGTTCACCGATGGAGCTGTTACTACTGAATCAGGTAAGGAGTTCCAGTCGTTGACCACTCTGTGAGAGAATCTAAACTCCAAACGTATTTTATTCGACCGCGGTTTGAGCACCTTCTTCTGGTGACCCCGTAAATGTATCCTAGAGGGGGAGAGAAGGTTTGAAAGGTCAATCCCTAAATTACCCTTGAATATACGGTAAGCCAAAATTAGGTCGCCTCTCCTCCTCCTTCGGTATGATAATGGGAAGAGATTTAAATGCTCCATCCTCATGTCATGAGGAAGGTGTGAGATACCACTAACTAATTTCGTTCCTACCCTCTGTACTCTTTCCAGGGTATGTGCCTCCTTTTTGAAGCATGGACTCGCCGCTTGTATGCAGTACTCTAGATGAGGCCTGACATATGTTGCATAGAGTACTTGGAACATACCCTCGTCTAATCGTTTGAAAGCCCTTCGAAGTGCCCACAGCATTCGAAGGGACTTAGCTGCGGCTCGATTACAGTTTGCCGTTGTTTTTAAGTCATGGCTAACAATAATTCCTAAGTCCTTTTGTTCCCTAACATCTGGCAGTTCTGTGTCCCCCATGGAGTACGACGTGTGAGACTTCTGACCTAGGTGCATTACCGCGCTTTTCTTGGAATTAATTTCCAGACTCCAAAGGTGAGCCCATTCGGCTAATTTGTCTAGATCGTTTTGTAGTACCAACCTATCATCGCTACTATTTACGGTTTTCCATATCTTAATATCATCCGCAAATAATTGGGAAGATGAAGTAGGAATTTTCGGCACTTCATTTACATACAATAAGAATAGCAGGGGGCCAAGTACAGTTCCCTGAGGTACTCCACTTAGTACTGCTTTCCACCCTGACAATACACCATTAACCCTTACCTTCTGCCTCATATCCATTAGGTAGTCACTAAACCACTCACATAAGCGTTGGTCTAATCCAAAATGTTTAAGTTTACTAAGAAGACCTAAATAGGATACCTTATCGAATGCTTTACTAAGATCGATAAATACAACATCCAGTAGATAGTTTTTATCCCTGGCCTCGACCCAATCTTCCCTTGCTAACAGTAAGTTTGTCAATCAGGATCGTCCTGGTCAGAATCCATGCTGTTCCACTGCCAGTAAGCCATGTTTTTCCGTATGAGCTAAGAGCTGATCCCTTATGAGTTTTTCCAACACCTTTGCTATAATGCAGGTCAGACTTACAGGCCGGTAGTTAGATACTAACTGCCTGTTCCCATCTTTGAAGATGGGGCTTATAAAAGCATCTTTCCAGTCTCTGGGTAGGCTAGCCTGGGTCAGAGACACCTGAAAAATCTCCGTAAGTGGAATGTATATTATATCCGCCATGGAGAATAGCAATCCAGGGTGAAGTCCGTCTGGTCCAGGTGATTTACCTGGCTTCAACTTAGACATTAGTTTCAGAACCACTGCATCATCTACCACAATTGATGGCATTTTAGGAGCTACATCAGTTACCTCGCTACACCCCTGGGTGGTACGATTAGGCGACATAACATCACAGAAGTACTCGGAGAGCTCCTCAGCTTTTGTTTCGTCTGACTCGGCAGCCTCTCCTGTGTTGCTAATGAGGGACGTTATGCCACTACTAGTTTTAGACCTGCGTTTGATATATGAGTAGTCTTTGGATAATGCACACAATCCAGTACTAACTGTCTCTCATACTCTATACGACTTTTGTCAATCTCATATTTACAAAGGTTTCGAACTTTGCGGTATTCCATCCGAAACTCATTCCTCCCAGTCACAGCAAACCGGTCCCGTAAGTCCTTTCGTTTTCTTAGTAACCTCCTTATTTCATTGCTAATCCAAGGTGGTTTATGAGATAATTTTCGAGGCGTAGACCAAGGTACAAAGGGTGCAATGACGCACTCTAGTGTATTCCTAAATCCCATCCAAGCCTCCTCGACAGTCTGGTGTGTGTTAACAGACCAGTCAGCTAGGGTTGCTGCATTTCGGATTGCAGGTATATTCGCTTTCCAAACGTTTGGGCGAGCGGCTGTTGACCTATGTATGACGGCCTGGATCCTGAACATAAAGGTAATAACCATGTGGTCACTACTGCCTACTCCACTCCTACTGCCTTGTAGGTCACACTTGGTTGTGTAAAGGCTAGAGCTGCACTCTCAAACAAAAGGCCGAGCGATTCTGGGGACTTCACTCGTACCAAATTCCCACGAAACTTCATGAACTCTCTTACAAACGACTCTCACCAAGCTACGGCGTTCCCGGTAAGCGACGCGCCCTGTGCTCACCCGGTGGCCAGTGTGAAAAGTAAGCCAGCTGGGAAATTAACACTTAGGAACCAACTATTTGTTGGCTGCTGGAATGTTAGGACGCTGTTGGACCCTGGTAGCCAGTCTATCACCATGCGTTCTTTATATGACTACAAGGTGGACATAGCGTGTCTATCTGAAGTGAGGTTGCCCGATCATGGCTCCCGCCGAATAGCCGTACCTGGAACAGATTCTTCATTCTGGTTGCTTCATAGTGGACCCCAGAATAATTCGGGACAACATGGGGTAGCATTTGCACTCAGTAACAAAGCCAATAATGCCCTAATATCGTTCGAACCGGTCAACTCCAGAGTTGCAATCGCTAGGTTCAAGGGTTCCCCACTCGACATTTCTGTTCTCGCTGTCTATGCCCCAACCCTCGACTCTGATGAAAGTATCAAAGACGAATTCTATGACAATCTTCAAGAGGCAATCAACAAAATCCCAAAGCGTGACGTTCTCATAGTAGCCGGCGATTGGAACGCCCGCACTGGCCCTTCAGACGACGCGACGAAACATATACTAGGCAAACACGGTCTCGATCAGCAATGCCGTAATGGTGATAGACTTTTAGCTTTTTCTGACTACAATCGATTATATATCACCAACACTCGATTTCAACACCCTAGAAAACATCTTCTCACCTGGTATTCGAACGACGGTCGCACTGCACATCAGATTGACTACATCCTAGTGCGCTCACGCTGGATCTCCTCGGTGGAGGACTGCCGATCCTATCGTGGCGCAGAGGCCGGAAACAAAGGGGGATCAGACCATACTCTAGTTCGGGCGAAATTCAAACTTCGTTTAACAACACGCCAGAAGGTGCGACCTCCGAAGCGTATCAATGTTGCCCCGCTTCAATGTTCGATAAAGCGACAAGCCTTGTCCAAACAAATCCAGGCCGAACTAAGCGCCGCAGACGAGCCAACATCCACATCTTCTAATACACTTGAGACACGATGGAATCATTTCAAAGAAGTAGTCTCTAAAGCTTCAATGTCGCATTTGGGTACCACATCCAACAAACAGAAAGACTGGATTTCAGAGCACACTATGCAACTATCCTCGCAAGCCAGAGACGCTCGCCTAGCAAAGTCTCCAGTTTATCGCTCCCTCAGGCGCAAAGCTACACAGTCTGCTAGGAATGATAGAAATCGCTATTGGTCTAATGTGGCGACTAACATGGAAGGAGCATCAAATGTAGGCGATTTCGGAAAACTTTATCGCCTTATACGCCTATCATCTGGCAAACGCCTTAACAGCCATGCTGTGTTACGCACAGAATCAGGAGAAATTATTTCGGACACCAATGGTAAGATGGAACGATGGGCCGAACATTTCAAGCAGCTACTCAATCGCAACTCTGGTCAACCGCCTCATCGACCGATACAACACTTACCAACACCCTACGTAGTTGACTGCGATCCACCCACTCCAACCGAAATAGCTAAAACAATTAACAGACTCAGGAACAAGAAAGCTCCGGGCGAAGATGGTCTACCTCCAGAAATATACAAGGCCTGCACTCCAGCGCTAATCGATTCGCTGCACTCGCTGTTCTGCTCAATTTGGGATTCCGAAACCATTCCTTCCGATTGGAGCACCTCAGTTTTGCTACCGTTCCACAAAAAGGGAGACAGGTCAATATGTGAGAACTACCGAGGCATAAGTCTGATTGATATCGCTGCTAAGGTTTTTGTTTCCATTCTCCTGAACCGCTTCGCTGCCGAACGCCACGTGCGAACAAGGCCAAATCAAGCCGGATTTCGACCTGGAAGAGGCTGTATTGATCAATTATTCACACTACGAAGAATTTTGGAACACAGGGACAAATATCAACAGCCGACGGTTGCTTGTTTCATCGACTTCCGAGCTGCATTCGACTCAGTTGATCGAGGAGCACTCTGGTATCTAATGGAGCTCGACGGAGTTCCGGCCAAGCTAATCAACCTGCTCAGGTCATACTACTCCAACACCACAGCTCGAGTCCGAGTGAACGGTGAAGAGTCTCGCACTTTTGAGGTAACCAGCGGTGTCCGGCAAGGTTGTCCAGCATCCCCCATTCTGTTCAATTTCACAA